CTTAGCCTTTAACCATTAAAGACATTTTAACTACTATACTAACAACAAAGAAGTGTTTTACAAGTAATACGAATTGTAAAAGCCTATAATAACAAAATAATAATAAGTATTGATAAAAAGAATTTGATGCGACAAATCATGGTTGTTATATGCCATCGAGGAGAAAAAATATGTACACCTATAGATCGTTTGGTAGGGCAATTAGCTTTAGGCGTTTGCAAATTGCACAAATGGTGGTCGAAGGAAAGCCGCTAAAAGGTAGCTAGTATGCACTATAAAGAAAAAACTCATCAAACAATGGTTATCGTTACATATTGGTAAAATATAAATGGAGGCTTTTGGAGTCTAATCAGGCTAGCTAGAGAGCTTTTTCCTTTTTTTTCTTTTTTTTTTTTAAATATATTAGATGATGAGTTATTAAAATTTATTTTTAATTGATTTTTTTTTTGATATATTAGAGTATGAATTATTAAAATTTCTTTTCATCCGATTCAAATTTTGAATTTAAAATCTTAATATCAAGTTCTTAATTAATTGAATTTTAAAAACATGTAAAATTTTAAAATGAATTCCAAAAATATGCAGAATATATTTTTTTAAAATCCACAATATCACTGTATTTGGTTTGAATAAAATGTTTTTATTTTAATTTTATAATTTGAATTTCAAACTCTTGTGTTTAGTATGATTAAAAATTTGTAAAATTTATTTGCAATTCACTAGTTCTTGTGCTTGGTTTGACTAATAATATGTTTGGTTTGAGGGAAATGAAGCAAAAGAAGGGGAGGAATGAGTATTTTAATCAATCAAATTACAATATTTTTAAATAATGCAATATAATTAGTTAAAAAATCCATCCCTTCCCTCCTGACTCATCTATTAATTAGTTAAAAAATTCATCTCTCCCCTCCCCACTCACATATTTCCCTCAAACCAAACACACCTTAAACAAATAAAATTTTTTTTATTATTAAAGTACAATGGGTACTCCTATACATTTCCATATAGTATCCTTACAAATTAAAAATATATAGCCATTTCATATCAGTGAACACATTACCAGCAAGCATAACCTCCCTTGAAGTGTTCTATCTTTTCATCATCTCTTTTGCTTTACTTTTCTATACAAGTTTTGAACACTCCCGTAAGTTGGTGATCTAATTTGCAAAGTTGAATTCTCCTAGTCTGGATTTTCCAGTATCTAGTGATAAGAATGAGTTTGCACCAATGTAAATAATTTCTCCTCTCAACATTGATACCTTCGAATATATGTTTATTTTTGTATAGCTGTATGGTCCATACAACAGCAAACCATATAGCCTCCCACACCCTGCTACCTTTCTTTATTTTGTTGATCCAAATTTGTTGCTAAAAAGCCTCCTCTAAGTTTCGATGCGTGACATAGGATAGACCCCACCATCTGAAGCATTTTGTCCATAGTCTCCAAGCATCTATGCAATTTAGTAACAAATGATCCACTTTCTCAATATAGGAGCCACATAGATTGAAAATTGCCTAAGAGTCATCCTTCAATATTACTCTAGTTAACAGGTTGTCTTTGGTTGCGATTCGTTTATGTAAGGCCTACTACATAAAAGCACAAACCTTCTTAGGAACCAAAGGATTCCAGCACTTCTTCCATTCTAAGGTACATGATGTCTTGCTCAAAGTGATGTGTCAATAAGTTGTAGGCAAACCTCACTAAGCATCTTCCATCCTTCTCCCACAACGAGGTCCATTTATCCTCTTTGTAAGAATAATTAAGCCTTAATGTTGATTTTTACTTTTATATTAGTAAGTAATTAAGGAATATATATTCCTTAAAAATGGAAGGAATACATATCCTTCATTCATTATTTAATTTAGTGAGAAAATATTATCATTAAGGTTTAATTATTCTAACTTTTTAGGGAAGTTTATTAAATTTAATTTACTTTACTAGTTTGACCAATGAATAGTTGCTACCACCAATCAAACATAAGCTATGAATGAGGAATATGTATTCCTTAATTACTTGCTAATATAAAAGGAAAACTAGCCATTAAAGCTTACCTATTCCTAGCTTCCTATGCACGTTTCTCAATTTTATTATGTTTTTATAGTTTGATTAAGGAATAACCATTACCATCAACCAAACAACCCTTAACACTCTTCCTTTTTAAATTGATTCTTCAACAAATATATTATCTAAAATAAAATAAATTTTATTTTTATTTAAACTAAATACAGAAAATTTTTAAAATATAAGAATCTACGTATAAATTTATTTACAAATCTAATTCATTTTACACACAAAAATACCATGGTTAAGTTGGCAGGTTGAGGTTTAGAATTCAAAAACCACAAGGAGGGGTTTAGAATAGAAAAAAAGGAGTTAATCTTAATTAAAGTGATACTTTAAATAGAACAGAAGAATGAAAAAACAAATAAATTTGGGACCAATGACCCACTGATACAACCGAAAAGAGTTTATTTTTTTTTAAGTAAGATATCATATTTAAATATTATAAATAAAAAAATAAACATTCGAAGAGATTTTTTATTATAGATTTGACGCAATTCGATTTTAAATTAATTAAAATTTAATGTGACTTTCAAATGCTAAAAGTTTAAATATTAAAAAAAAAACGCATGCATCTGATATTACAAAATCAAACAAATTCCTATGGCTGTTATTTTTCTTCTAGCTGACGCTCATGGTTTTTTCTTATTTTTGTTGGTTGGGGAAGAGATGCTCATGGTTTGCCCCCGCAGGACTAGTTGCAGCTAGCTACGAATAATACCAGTATTTAATTTATGTTTGCTGTGTTTTATTAATATTATTATTATTATAATAATATATAAAGACTCAAGAAAAGTAGTGCAAAAGTCACCTATGAGAAAGAGGAAAAACGAATTTTAATTTCCTCCCTTAAAATTAAAAGTGAGCCTCTTCAATTCGTTAATTGGTCAATCATCACAACTTTTCATTTCCTCCCTTTAAGATGAAGATTTTGTTTTGACTACGCAGATTCCCAATATTTTGGAGGCCATATTTATTGGGCTGGCTACTTCTGAGGATGCCGTATGTAGTATGCGGGAATTAGTCCTAGTCGAAGGTAGTGGTTGTAGAGGAGGCTCAGGAAAGAGAGAACATATTTATTTATTTTTAACTTTTGCTTTGAATGAGTGGGTATGATGTAATACTTGACAACTATATATATATATATATATATACATATATTTTTTTTTATTTAATTAAAATTTAGAAATTTACTTTTATTACATATTAATATTTGCATTTAAAAATTATTATATATTTTAATATAATCAGTTTCTAAATCCATATATTAACATTTAATATAGTTGATTTTTAAATTTTGATTGGAGTTTTCCGTTTCCAAATACAAAAATTAACATTTAATAAAATAAATTTCTGAATTAACTGAAACAATGTTATTTAAGATTGAAACTTTAATTTTTTTTTTTAAGAGTTATGATTGATATGCACTATTCTTGATCATATATGTGTGTGTCTTTGTAATATTAATATTTATCAATCAATAGGTAAAAAAATTAGGTAAAAAGAGTTTCAAAATTACATTATTTTAATAAATCATCACGAGAAAAGAGTAAAATAGTCTAATTCCTATTTTAAAAACAAGGATGTTTTAGTATATTTTTAATGAGAATTACTGAAATGATGTAGTTTTATAATATTTTTTTGTCTAATTTTTTTTGTAAATTTGACTAGTAAATATATTTTTGTCTATATATATGAAAAAGAATTTTGCAGTATGTCTCCATGGAGGATATCTTCAAAACAATATATTTTAATTAACATTTTTAAAAACTAACAGTTGAATTGAAAATTCCTTTAATATAGATCATATATGTGCTAATAAAAAAAATGTAGATTATATATATATCAATTTTCATATTAATCTAGTATGTCTAATTAGTTTGTTGATTATATAAAATTTAACATCATTAAAAATATGTAAGAAAATAGAGTTTTTTTTATTAAATGACCAATTAGATCAATCTAAAAATTGATATATATGATTTACATTAATAAAATTTTTAAAAATACTAATTGATATACCTTTTAGTTTCAACACACTACATAACACTTTTATTAAAAAATTATTATTTTCTAGTATGAAATTAAAATCACATAAACTTAAAGAAGCAACCATGCTGTAAGATGTAGAAAGCAACTAAATCGATTGTACTTATATTATATTTTAATAGTTAAACTAGACAGATGTTGAAAGGTGTTTTTAAACTTATAAATATATAACTATATAAATTGAGCAATTTATACAGAGTAGAGATCTATTTACATTCATGTTTTACCTACCACATTTACACAAAATCTTAATTATTTATCTTTTCACTTTCAATTGTTGTAATTTATCACGGCCTTTTAGATGAAAAAGATCATTTGAAATATCATTATAAATTTTAATAATTGAAAATATAAAGATGAATAGCCAAGATTTTGTGTAATTGGAGTGTATAAAACTTATATATAAAAAGATCCTAAATCATTTTTATATATAATATATAAGTATATTAAATAAATATAATTATAAACAAATCTTGCTTAAACTCGTTTTAATATGCTTCGAGGATTCGCTGATGCGTGATGAAATATAGAGCAAAAAGAGCTAGTGTGGTTGGACAGTCAAGAGACTCACCTTTTTCTCTTCAAATTCTCTTATTCAAATCTTTTTTTGCCCGACACCAATTGTCGTGTGCCATGTGACATGGAATAATACTAATTAATTACCGACAATCTTAAAGATGATCGCATTGGGGTTGCACATAAAAAATGAAAAAGTCGAGTTGCCAGTTGGTCTAATTCGTCCAACGCCGCTATTTTTCACAGCAATCATTCGGGCCATGCAAAAGTTTGGTTCTTGGGCGCCTATATTTTCATGCATGCACATGTGCAATGGCTTCATATCTAGCTCTTCGACTTCCCTTTGAGAAGGAAAGAGAAACATTAGCAAAGAGGCTAGTGGAGAGCTAGAGAGAAGAAGCAAAGAAATGGCCTTGATTTCCACTCATAACCCTTGGCTTTTCGTTTTTGGTGTTCTAGGTACATATATCTATAATTTATACTCTTTGAATACCAATCCTTTTTTTATTAACATCCTCACATAACTGTTTTTTCTTGATATGTTTTAGGTAACATTTCCTCGTTCGTGGTTTTCCTAGCTCCAATGTAAGTAATACGTTGTTTCAAGCATTTTCCTTGTTTTATAAATTTGAAGATTAGGAGTAGTTTATATATATGCTTGTTTTATAAATTAATTTGAAGATTAAGAGTAGTTTATATATATGCTAACCATGACTACATATATATATATATATATATATGTTTACTCTTTTAGACCAACCTTCTATCGGATTTGGAAGAAGAAATCAACCGAGGGCTTTCAATCTCTTCCATATTTGACTGGCCTCTTCAGTGCAATGCTTTGGATCTACTATGCCTTACTCAAATCTGATGCTTTCCTTCTCATCACCATCAACGCCTTTGGTTGTGTCGTTGAGACCATTTACATTGCTTTCTACATCACTTATGCCCCAAGGAAAGCTAGGGTAAGTAATATAAATTTGCGTATGTATTCTTAGCCTAGCATAAAAGCAATATGTATAAAAAAGAAAAGAAAAAAATATATATTCCCTTATTATTATTTCTTTTTTTTGCAAGAAAATGAATCTTATATATAGTTTAATCATTTTGAATTGATATTTGAAAATGCAGATATTTACCTTAAAGTTACTTCTTTTGTTAAATTTCACGGGATTTTGCTTAATTCTTCTTCTCTCACACTTCTTAACAAAAGAATCGACACGTACTCAAGTTCTAGGATGGATTTGTATGGTATTTTCCCTCATTGTTTTTGTGGCGCCTTTAAGTATTATGGTGAGAATATGTTTTAATTAATACAATTAACCTTGCTTCTAACCTTCCCACTTACCAAACATATAATTAAGCTTTTTACCCAAAAAATGTACATGTATATACTAACCATTTGCTAATAAATTTTCAGAGGCTAGTCATTCGTACCAAAAGTGTGGAGTACATGCCTTTTAATTTATCACTTAACCTCACCATAAGCGCTGTTACGTGGCTCTTTTATGGCATATTCCTCAAGGACATGTACGTGACGGTAAGCGACATCTGACCACTTTTATTATACTAATTAATGAAGATGTTACGTATTATACAAGTGTCCATGGAGCAGAACAGTTTAGCAATTAAGAGTTTTCGAAACTTTTAACTTAGATGCTTCAAATTTAGAATATAAAACCCAAAAGCGAGGTTAATTTAGAGAAGAAAATTGCAAGTCACAACACAACTTTTAATTTCCTCCCTTAAAAGTGAGCTTCATTAACTAATTACTTAATCAAAATAATCATAATTAATTAATTAGATGAAGAATAATCGGTTTTGACTGCAGATTCCCAACATTCTTGGAGTCATATTTGGGTTGCTTCAGATGGTGCTGTATGCAGTATACAGGAATAAGTCCAAGATGTTGGTGGCAGCGGAGGTTCAGTCGCCCCAACAAAGCACTGATATGACCAAACTTGGAACACATCCCCTCAACTGTGGCAAAAACATTGAGAATAAGGAACAGAATGAAAATGATCGCCAAAATATCGATCAGACTGGGAATAGCATGGAGGTTTTCTACTCGAATCCGCAAATTGCTCTTGAAGTTTAATTGCAATACCCCTTCGCAACTGTAGGAAATATATGAATGTGTTTCCTGTTTCATGTTCTAGTTTTTTAACTTGAGATTTGTATTTCTCTAAATGTAAGAAGCCTAACCAAAAGTTGGGCGCGCAAAATAAATTCTAAATGTAGTTTAATTTCATGTCTAAGGTATTTTCAAATGTATTAGTCCATGATTTGTTAATTTGCCAGTATGAATTTAACTGAGATCCACATTCTCAAGTTTAGAACTATTTTACAAACTTAGTAATGTTATACTAATTAATAATTTCATGTAAAATTATAAATTTATAATCATAAATGTTATTAAATAAATAAATATATAAAATATCAAAATTAAATTTTAAATAAAAAGATGTCAAACATAATAAAACATTATGATTTTAAGTTATAATAGTGCATAACATTTGTAAATATATCATGTATAAACTTGTTTCACTTCCAAAAGAGTAGCCTAAATAGTTGGGGTTCAACTCCCACCCCTAGGACTAAAAGACTCATCCCTCAATTGCCCATTTACAGGCGCAACACCCGGGCTTGAAGCCCAGGTCTACACACGAGATGCCCAGGTTTTAGCTTAGGGCCCAGTACTGGTGTTATTTTTAGATAATGTTATTATTTTTTATTTTTAACAATTAATATTATATGTAGTAATTTAGTAATATTTTTATTTTTATTGCTAAATTACCATATATTATTGGTTGTAAAAAACAAAAGAAATAAATATATAAATAAAAGAAAAATAAGAATATTATAAACGGACCCTTACATTTTTTTTTAACCCAGGTCAATTGCCGGCTTCGGTAAGGGATAACCACTTGGGCTAAGGCCTTGGCTTCCTTAGATTATTTTGGTTTACGGTAAACTGGGCTCTTATCCTAGGCCCAGTTTTTTATTAATATTTAGGCCTGTGTGGTTAAAAGACCAACCTGATTAAGAAAGATTTTCTTGTGAAAGTTGCTAAGAAAATATTTATAAAAAGTTGATAAATATTATATAAAAAATTAATAAGTTTTGTAGTGAAGTTGTGTTGGTTTATTAATTTTTATGTGTTTTGTAAGTAATTGGTGTAAAAAACGTTAGTAGAAAAATTGTCAAGTGCTTTTTAGATAAGTAAAATTAGGAAAAACATTTTTCCTTAAAAAAGTGTGAAAAGAAACGTTTATAAATTAGAAATTGTGTTAAGAAAAATAAAGATTAAAAATATTATTTTTATCCTCCTTTTGTTATAATATTAATATGTAAAAATACATAATAACTTTATAAAAAAAATTAAAAATTAAAAATAAAAGGCTTCCCTTCAACCGAACAACGCCTTGAGTATTTAAGAGCATTTTTTGGTTTTAGAAAAACCGAAGTCCTCTCTGTTTCATTTGGACATGAATAATGATAAAAATGATAAATTTAATGGAACAAAAATTTGATAACAGTCAGCTTTCTCATCAAAACTTTTTAAAATATTAGAAGGTAAATTTCATACGAGAAAAGAGAAAATTAAGATGTCTTAACATTAAAAATATTAAAATATCTAATAATAATTACATAATAAATTTGATAAAATTAGGTTTATGTTATATCTCACACATTTAATAGTTATAATTAAATATTTCAATATATATAATGTTAAGATTTTAATTTTTCATTTTCTCATTTCATATTATTTAATGAATAACTTTTTTTACTCTACTAAAACTCATAATATTATATATATCTATTTATTTAATAATATATAAAATTATACAAAAAATTGTTTCATATTAACTTATTTAAAAATAAAAACAACGTATCAACTTATTTAAAATTTAAAAGAAAAACATAACGTGGCAATCCCAAATTCTCATCCCTCATTTTCATTCTTTACCTCACTACTCCTTGGATATAGTAAAATATACAAAGAAAATTAAAGAAAAAAGAAAAAGTTCCTCATCTCTTCTCTATTATTTTTTATCTAAATGGAAAAAATTTCTCATCTTCCCTCTCCTCCCTCTCCTCTGCCAAATAGACACTAATAGTTTGTTAATTTGTTTGAGGGAAACGGTGAGGAAAAGGGGGAGAGGGACCAAACAGACTAATAGTGTGTTAATTCGTTTGAGGGAACAAAGGGGAAACTGAGGAGATAGAAGGGGAGGCGAGGGAAAATATTCTTATTTCGACTAATTAAATTAAGTATTTAATTAGTTATAATAAAATTTTTTATTCTTTTAAACTAAATAAGTTATAAGAGTTGTCCCCTATTTGAGTGTTTATAAAATTATTATTATTATTATTATTATTATTTTGGTGTTTTGGGTTATGATGTTTTCAAATTAACATTTACACACTTTAAAACTATTATTTCTCCAAGCGATCTTACATTCACACTTTTTCTATTGGCCTAGTGTATATACCTAATGACATTTATTTTTCAATAAATTCAACCCTTAAAATTTGAAAAATTATTAATGAGCCTCTTTTGATATTAAATTGTCCAGGATTGAACGTCAACATAAAAAACTAGCTAGCCAGCCAAAGGTAATGCTACCGACTTGCAATATATCCATTATATTACCCAAAATCTAACATCTAATACAGTTCAGGTGTATTACTGATTTTTTTTATCATTATTATTTTTCATTTTGGGATACACAAAGCAGTCAATTATATCATATTTTTTTGCTCACTCTTGCAGCATACTTATTATTTAAACTCAAAATATTACTAGACCGTTAAATCATTGGCTGTTTTAGTGGATAATTCAATCAAGGATATTACATTGAAAATTTCCTTCGAATAGAACATTTTAAATTGTAAAATTTGGAGATCGACCAAGCTTGTTTACACAATTTAAGTGCTAGCCTAAACTAAATATCGAAAAGCTCGATCTCAATTCAATAATGTACCTAATCGAGTTCGATTATTCAAAATTTGAGTTCACTAAAACCATGAATCAAGCCAAACCCCAACAACATTCACATATATTATAGTTGAATTAATCTTTATCCTATATCTTGCTGCTTTTAATTTTTCCTTTTTCCTCAAAATACATGCACATACACACACATATATATAACCTTCTTCACCAACCTAACATATATATAGTTGAACTAATCCTTATCTTAGAGAAATCAATAAAAAGATAATTTTTCATAAATTTTTTAGTCTCAACATGAATGATCCACCTTTAATTGGACTAAGAAGGACTTAATCACAAGATACACACATATTATCCTAAAAACACCCTAATCGTGAAAACAAAAAAAGATGTACGGCCATTTCTTAAGGTGGTTTTAGTTCGTAAAAATTAAAAGAAATATAAACAAAAACAATAAAACAACAATTATTACAGAAAGAAGGCCCTTAGATTTTCTTTTTCTTTTTTTTTTTTTCTTTCAACTGAGCTAATATTTGGGAAGGGGAAACTTGGGACAAGTGATTTGAACCCTAGTGAATTGCTACTTCGATAATGGGTAACCATTACCACTTAGGCTTAGGGGTGGCAAGTTTTTCTGATCCTCATGGAATCCTATGAGGATCCTTATCATGGGAGAGTGGGGATGGCATTATTCTCTTGTCGTGAGATTAATTTCATAGGTTTCTCGCCCTGCAAGGATTAGTGGGGATCTCAATTTTTTGTGAAAAATTAAAAAAATTATTGACTTCAATCCAATTTAAATATTTAATTCTTCATCATAGACCATAATATTAATTTTTAATTTTAACTCTGTACTAAAATCCAATTAGTTAAAATGAAACTCAACCCAATACATTTTTTGCCCTTAATATAACTCTTTAAAACATTTTGTTTTTTTTTTTAATAAAAATAATTAAGTTAATATTGTAATATTGATTGGCAGGAGGTGAGAAATCTCTAAAGTAACAAGGACGGGGCAAAATTTGCCCCTTATCAAAAATCCTGACATAGATAATTGAGGGAATGGGAATGGAGAGGTACTTTCTAACCCCATATAAGATCCCATTGCCAGCCTTACCTAAGTTATGCCTTGGTTTTTCCTTAGGTTAAATTTGTTTAGGTAAAGTCGGCTTATCTTAGACCTAGTTTCAATTAATATATTCTGATTTTGATATTTATTTTAGCATTTTTAATATAAATTTATTTAAATATATATATATATTTTTTAAGTGTTTTTGTTTCTAGTGGAGATTCTCTCAAAGTCTCTTGATAAACTTGTAGTGCAAGATCTCGGACATATTCTTTTTTTTTTTTTTTTTTTTTTGGTTGGTTGGGGGGGAAGGGGGGAGGAAGATGCTCATGGTTTGCCTACCGCAGGACTAGTTTGTAGCTAGCTACCAATAAAACTCAGTATTTAATTTATGTTTGCTGTGTTTGATTGTTATTATTATTATTTAAAAAAAAAAGGACTAAGAAATGTAGTGCAAAAGTCACCTATATAATTTACCCAAAAAAAAAAAAGTCACCCATAAGCAAGAGGAAAAACGAATTTTAATTTCCTCCCTTAAAATTAAAAGTGAGCCTCATTAATTCTTTAATTGGTCAATCATCACAACTTTCATTTCCTCCCTTTAAGATGAAGATTTTGTTTTGACTATGCAGATTCCCAATATTTTGGAAGCCATATTTATTGGGCTGGCTACTTCTGAGGATGCTGTACGTAGTATGCGGGAATAAGTTCTAGTTGAATGTGGTGGTTGTAGAGGAGGCTCAGGAAAAAGAGAACATATTTATTTATTCCTAACTTTTACTTCGAATGAGTGGGAATGATATAATGCTTTACAAATATATATATATATATATATATAAGTTTTAATTTTTAAACTAAATTAAAATTTTAATTTTAAATTACATTGTTTTATTTAAATATTAAAAAATTTATTTTATTAAATATTAATATTTAAATTTAAAAACTAACTATATATTAAATATTAATATTTAATAAAAATAAATTTTTAATTTTTTAATTTT